TTTTCGCAGGGAGGGGCCTCTTTGATGGCTTCTATTTTCTCAATGAAGTATCACAGAAGGAGGGTGGAGGATGGGCCTGAAAGAGTCATTTCTGGAACAAGCAGATCTATTTGAGGTTCGTGATCAAAAATTTAAAGTCAAACCAGCCAGCCAGGGTGGTTTTCCTCCCAGGACAGGACAGTCAGAGCTGCTCAAGGACTGAAGGCAGGGGGCAGGTGAAGGCAGGAGGCAGGCGAGGGCAGGAGGCAGTTGGAGGCAGGAGGCAGGAGGCACGAGGCAGGAGGCAGGCGAGGGCAGGAGGCAGGTGGAGGCAGGAGGCAGGCGGGGGCAGGAGGCTGTGTTAGACAAGGTGGGAGCCAAGGGAGCACTTGCTTCGTTAGCAGCTCTCTGTTGGACAGATGGACCCGGGGGAAGGGCTGCCCGGGGCCCCAGGCGGTGGCAGCCCTGCAGAGACTGGAGCACGCGGCCCTAGGAGTGACCACAGCCAGTGGGATGAGACCTGCGGCCATGACTCAGCACGTGCATGCTGAAGCCCCGAAGGCTGGCCCCAGTCCGAGCTGACAAGAAGGCCAGACTTCTCCACTAAATGAGTCACAGGAGCCCCGGAGACATCAATGAAGGCCACACACACACACACACACACACACACACACACACACCTGGCAGCCAACCCCAGCACCTGGTCACACCTGGGGTGAGACCAGAATCCAGTTCCATCCCAGGGGCCCAGGGAGCAGTGTCTCTGGGAGAGGCACGTTTTCATCAACGTTTTGAGAAAATTAAAAACTGATTTCATTTTTTAATGTAATCCAGTTCTCGCCACCAGAGATTCCGATTCAGTAGCCTTTCTGAAAACCTCTCCAAGTGACTCACATTCCCAAGCAGGCTGGGAAACCCCGGTGAAGTGATCCCAAAGCCAAGGGCTGCAGAAAGAAACAGGCACACAGCAAATGCTTGTGAACTGAGTACAATTAAGTTCTACATTTTTTTAAACATCAGTTGTAAATTATTGCATGTCATAAAGAATAGTATGAAAATCGCTTTGGCCGGTTTTGCTCCGTGGTTAGAGCGTCAGCCTGAGGACCAAAGAGTCGTGGGTTCGATTCCGGTCAAGGGCACACACCTTGGTTGGGATTCCGATGTGTCTCTCGCACATCAATGTTTCTCTATCTCTCTCTCTCCCGCCCCTTCCCACTCTATCTCCTCCCGTAAGGATTTACAAAAAAGAATAGCACTAAAATGGCAACAACACAACTCCTGACCACCTTCACAACCACCATGAATCTGAACACCTTGCTTTTCCCTCTCAGCCCAACATGGCCTTCAGCGACCTCTCTGTCCAACCAGGAAAATACAGCTATGTTAAACTAAAACCATATAAAATAACTAAAACAAATAGCTAACACCACCCATCAGTCTTATACCCCAACCACAAACAATCTGCTCATAATCAAAGAAAAAACATCCACCGAGCTACATTCCCATGACCCTGTGAATGAGGTGATTATTAAGGTCCTTCCTTCCAACCTACAACACAACATTATCCTCAGACAGCTAATGCTCAGATCAGATTTCTATGGTTTATTGTTGTCACCAAATCACACCAACCCTCCTCCCTCAAAACGACTCCTAACGCGTTTTGAGAAAAGAGAATGAACAACATTATTTGAACCGGGTTCTCCAACTGTATAAGATATTACATTACAGAAATGTGAACCACTTACTTACAAGGGTTGTAAGGGTTTTGTCTTGCTGAGACAAAAACTCTATTTTCTCCTTTAATCGTGGAACTCAAAATTTTAAAGATGGAAAGGTTAGAGCATGGATGCCTTATATGATATTCTTCCTGGTTGGACACTACCCTTCATCTTCAAAGCACTTAGCCAGTGTTTACTGCCCCTTGCTTCCAACAAGAAGTCACGCATTTTAGAGGCACTGACTACCTGGCCAGAGAGCACACCTGCTCACTCAAGTTCAGACAGTGGGGCTGAGATTCTAATGTCATCTGACATAACTCCCAGCCACTCCCAAAAAGCCCATTAATAGTGTTGTTTTGTTTTTTTATCACAGGTGTTCAAGTTTTTCTTTCATTAGCTTCCATTGTATGTGTTAAATGACCCAGGTTTAGGCAAATGGTCATTCAGACTTCTTTAAAGTAGTGTTTGAGTTTCCCATGAACACCAGCAAGCATGCTGTCTAACACACTGGTAAAGACTTTGTAAACAGTATCAATAGCCATAGAACTACGAAAAAATACCCCGAATCTATCACTTCCCTCCATATCTGTTGCTAATCCCTACCCCAGTCCAAGTAATCTCTTAGAATTATCTAGAACACTGCAATTGCTTCATAGGTCTTCTCCCTGCCTGCAATATCATCACCTCTCCACCCACTCACCAAGCCAAAGAAAGCTTTTTAATCACACAAATTGTGTCATGTCATTCCCTCTGCAAAACCTTCCAAGGGACTTCCAATTGCATTTAGACTAAAATTAAAATGATTGGTTTGGTTTGATGGTCTCCCTGCTTCCACTCTGGCCCCCCAATATCTGCTCTCAACACAGCGGCAAAATTGATTTAAACCATGTTACTCCTCTGCTCCTTCCACTGGCTCTTGCTCAGAGGCTCTGCTGTGTCCGAAAAGGCCCTACACAATCTACCAGTCCATTCCCTGGGACCCATCTAATACCATTCATTCCCACTCAGGGTCCTTACTCGTCCATGCCTGGAATGTTCTTCCCCCATCTCCCTCGCCTCACCTATGTCTCGGCGTAAATGTCACCTCCTCAGTGAGGCTTCATTGACCACACTGAGATGGAATTCTTTCCCAAGCCTACACTCTCCACCTCACTCCCTTTCCTAATTTTTTTTTCACTTGACTGTACAGCCGTATCTGCCATAATATAAATTCTCGCAGTTTATTTCTTAATTCACTAGCACGCTCCATGTAAGCTACAGGAGGATGGACGGATGCTCCCTGACACTTGGGATTTTGGTCTGCTTTACTCACTTCTCTATCCCAAGTGCCTGGAACAGTGCCTGACACATAACCGGTGCTAAATGAACATGATTGAACGAAGGATCTGATCCTGCTTTCCCTGCTGATCTCCTGGACATCTCTGCCAAACTCTCACTTGCTCATTCAGTTCCAGCCACCGTGCCCTCTCTCTTTGCCTCCAACAAGCCAAGCTCATGCCCCTTCAGCAGCTTCCCTTCTGTCTGGAATGCTGCTGCACCGACCACTCCACCCCAGGCACTCTCATTTCATACCCGGAAGCACTGGTTCATGAACCCTCTTGTGTATTTACTGTCTCCACCACTGACATGGATCTCAGGGCAGAGGCTTTGTGTTGTTCAAGCTGCTTTCCTGGTGGCTGCACTGGGCTTGGCACCTAGTAGGTGGGGCTCAGTAAGTATTGGCAGGTGTAACCAGCCCAGCTCACGTGGGCCTCCGCTTTCTCCAGTATAAAATAAGGCCGAAGTGCTCGCTTCGGCAGCACATATATTAAAATTGGAACGATATAGAGAAGATTAGTATGGCCCCTGCGCAAGGATGACACGCAACTTCGTGAAGCATTCCATATTTTTTGAGATGGCATGGAAGGACCTGGAGAGTATTACGCTAAGCGAAACAAGCCAAGCAGAGACTATCACATGATCTCACTTATTTGTGGAATATAATGAACTAAACTAACTGATGAACAAAATTGACCCAGAGACACAGAGGTGGGGTACAGACTGACAAGTCTCAGGGGAGGGGGGGTTGAGGGGAAAAAGATAAACCACAGAACTTACATGCATGTATGCATGACCAATGAACATAGACAACAAAGCTGGGGATGGGGAGGAGGGTGTCAATTGGGGGAAAAAGAGAAACATCGGTAATAAAAATTTTTTTAAAATAAAATAAAATAAGGCTGAAGATACTTTGATATCTCTTCGTGGTCTTTATAAAATGCTGACTTTACAGTCTTGTAGCATATAGTTTACATAGAGCCCCAATTTATGACAAGCTCCTGCAAAACTCTGGGAGGCAATTAACAAGGTTGTAATTATCCAGCTTTTGTATCTGAGAAAACTGCTGACTATGGAACTGGCCCAAGAGGCACAGCTATGAAACAGTGGAGCTGGGTCTAAATCCCCAGCTTTTTCTTGTTTTTTTTTTATCCTCACCAGGGACATTTTTCCAATTTTTGTTCAGACAGAGTGGGAGGAAGAGAGAGAGAAACATCGATGTGTCCCTTTCACATTGAGTGGCTGCCACCCACAGGGCCAACCAGGGCTGGGACAAACTGCAACCGAGGTACGTGGCCTTAGCAGGAACCGACGGGTCTCTCTGGACCGCAGGCCGACGCTCTAACCGCTGAGCCAAACCGGCCAGGGCAATCCCCAGCTTTTTCAATGCTACTACTGTGATAGCAGAATTAAACAGGTTTTTCTGGTCCTTACAAATGGGTTCAAAGAACCACCAATTTGCTGCTTCACTGTACACTCATCCAAGAAAGTACATCATGGGAACTTCCCATTGTTTTCCCGTGTTCCATGAACACGCCGGTAATCTGAGAATGAATGGTAACAACACAAGCGAACGTGTCCGCTCAGGGCCGATCTGCTTACTGAACGTGGACTCGCAGAGGACGTTCACCCGCCTGGGCTCGCGGTGCCTCTGAAGCACCGACGTCGCTATGCGGAAGCGCAGCCCGCAGAGCCGCAGGGGAGCCGGTGGTGGCGGCGGTGCGCCGGGCCCTGGGGGTGAATGGCCGTCAGGTCTGGCAGGGTTTTCAGAGCTGCGAAGGGCCCTGTGAAAACGTGGTCAAGGTGCGGAGCACACAGCCACCCCGTCGGCACCGGGGCCCAGCTCTCCATCCTGGCCGCCGGCTGACCGGCCTTGGTGCTCGCGGGGCCCCGGCAGCCCCGCCGCCCCCGCCCCCGCGGGGCCCTCGCGAGTCCGCCAGCCCTGCCGGCCGCCGCGCTGCCCCCGCACCCCGGGCGCCGCCTCACCCGTAGGTGGTCAGCAGCGCCTTGTTCACCAGCACCATGAGGAAGGAGCAGGTCCCGTAGAAGAGCGCCGACAGCAGCTGGGCCACCCGGGAGGGCAGCCGAGCGGCGGCGGGGTCCGCGCCCGCGTTCGCGCCGTCGGCCTGGCGCGTCATGGATGGCCCGCCCGCAGCCCACGCCGGTCGCCCGCCTCGGCCCCGCTCCGGTCCGCCCCGCCCCAGTTCCGTCCCCGCCCCCGGGGCCCGAGAGGGCGCAGCCCAAACAGGAAGGGCCCCAGCGCGAACCCCACGTGCCCGCGCGGCCCGGCCAGCGCCCCAAAGCTGCGGGCGCGGGAGGAGCCGCGCAGCGGGAGTTCGCGCTCGGACACCGGGCGTGTGGGCACCTGGTCTGAAGGCGGACCAGCAGCGGGTTTGGGAAGTACAAAGCCCTACGTTCTTTCAGATTGCTGTCTTGGGGAGAAACCCTTCCGTTTAGTTTTAGGATTGGTTTTGCTTTTTTTCTACAATACTTTTTTAACGTATAATTTACATACAGTGAAATGCAGATTTTACGAAACCACAGGGTTACGGTTTTGACAAATGCATACACCCATGGAACCACCTGAAAGAGAATATTTCCATCACCCCCAAAAGTGCCCCTTTTGCCCCACTTAAGTCAATCAGAAGTTACTCTGACTCTATTACCATAGGTTAGATTTGCCTTTTCTAGAAATGCCTGTCTTCCATGAAGGCTCTCCGCCCTGCTCTTTATTTTTTCGACTCTCCCATGTTGCTTCTTTTCCTTGTTGAGTTGTACCACAATTTATCCACCCACAATGTATCCATTCAGTTGATGGGCATATTGGTTGTTTCCAGTTTAGGGTTATTAAATGCTTCCATATTCGTGTGTGTGTTCATTTCTGTTCGTAAGTACGTAGCAGTGGAATGGCTGGGTAACGTGGGTGCAAAGTCTCAAGGCTCCTTGCCTCTGGGTGTTTTCTGGCGGGGCCGCTTCAGATCCAGCAGGACAGCAACTGAGCATCAGTGTGTGTTGCTGATGTTAACCGAAGGCGAGCCTCCCAGAACTGCCTACTCTGGCCAGACTCCACCTGCTGTACCAATTTTTCAAGTAAGTGTCCCATATCTTCATTTTTAATAATTAACTTTAAAAATCTGAAATCTTAGCTTTCTAGAATAAAAGCTCAAGATTTCAAGTTAAATAGATGTTTAAGCCTAATTATATTCATGCTATAAAAAATCTGTTGTAGACACTGAACAACCAAGAACATTTTCAACACTGGTTAAGAACTAAAGCAGAACTTTGACAAATAGCCAGCACTAAAAAAGGCAGAAAGGAAGAGTCCACATTACCCAAAACAAGAAAGAAAACACACATAAGACCGTTTTAAAATAGAAAATGAATTCATAGGCAAGTTGAATAAAAAGAAACCTGAACCTGGAAGTTATTTTGGTTACTTTCCTACCAAAAAAAAAAAAAAAAGTCAAGTGAGTTTCCAAATAACTTGGGCTGCAAAACAGAAAAGTCGCTTTTAATGACAGCCTTAGTCATATTTGCATTTGTTTCTATGTCCATACTTCCAAGACTTTAAGTCCCTGTTAAAATCTCATCCTGTTAAAATCTCATCCTTACTGTTAAAAATCACAACTCACAACTCCCCAGGCTGAACCTTGCCATTTCAAGTACAAGACTAAAGATATACTAAAAATAACTCATGAAAAATTATGCAGATTTGCTTGACTCAGAAAAGTAAACAGGCTCTGAGTGGATTCTTGGGGAGGTGACCCCAGATTCAACATATCCTGAATATAAGTAAAATAAAATCCCGTTCCTGATTACCCTAATGTAAGGTCTGCACTAGGGCTGGCAACACTTATCTACACCAATGTATTTTTTTTACACTGTAATAATGAAGCAGGTAAGAAAGTTAAATGAATATCTCTAATCTAAAAGCCATCATTTTAAAGTAAGAAAAAGCAATTTGTACTATGGTTCCAACTATGCCAAAAAGCTGACCGGGCCTGGCCAGTGTGCTCAGTGGCTGAGCGGTGACCCATGCACCAAGAGAGCACTGGTTCCCAGCCAGGGCACATGCCTAGGTTGTGGGCCCAATCCCCAGTGTGTGTGTGTGTGGGGGGGGCATGAAGGAGGTGGCCAATCAATGTTCTCTCTCACTGATGTTTCTATCTCTCTCTCCCTCTCCCTTCCTCTCTCTCTAAAATCAGTAAAGAAAAAAAAATTTTTTAAATAAAAGCTGACTGGGATGAGACTAGAATGAAATATAAAATGTATCAAAATAACAGAAAACTGTAGGGCTATAGGTGACATTTCTAAATCTTAGTTTTTTTTAATCATGGTTGTTATTTTTTTATAGAAAAACAAACTATAAAGGTTCAAGAATGAACAGGTACTTTAAACAGTAAATTAAAATAAAATTTTATTCAAAGCATCTTTTAAAATTACAGCATGTTTTTTCTTATGCTGTTAACTGTGCCAAACTACAACTTAGCCATATGAAGCATAAAACACTTCAAAAATTTGAATGTAAACCATATTTTTAAAACAAAAAGCAGTCCTAACACAGCTCAGATTTTAAATGCCAATGTATTTTGTCCAAGTATATAGCTTATATCAAAAAAAAGAACATTTTAAATATTTCTATAGTAAATAGCTGTAATAATTTCTTAAACTTTCAACTATACAAATAAAAAATGTTTGTGAATATAACTATTATAGTTGACAAAGCTGACCAGAGAAACAAACACCCTTACTTTTGAAGGCCTTAAATTTTATTATTTTTGAATTGGCAAGTATTTGTATTTTTAAAATTCTTATTGCCTTTCTTTCTTTGTGTAATTTCATCAAATTTTACATTTCCCCAAACTGATAAGTGTTGCTTTTTATAGTTCATTGAAGTCATACTTAAGAGGGAAAATCTAGAGAAAAATGACCTAAACCAAGAAAATTCAATGCTATAGTCTCTTACTGTGCTTATAAGTGCTCCAAGTTAAAATTCTATATATCAGATTACAAACAAAATTCTTAGCCCATTACAATATACATTTTCTTATTTAAAAAATCCTTCAAGATCTGTAATTTACTGTATTGAGGATTACATTTGTAAAGTATGTCCTCATCATACACATTATTTGTTACTATTATCTTTCACACTTTTGCTCCTTTTCAAGACATTTACATCCCTCTCCTTACATTGCTACCTATGTGAAACTCTGTGACTGCAACACATTGGGATTTGGGGGGAAAGAAGCCTACATTTTCGATCATGTTTAAACTACATCTGTAGGCTACTACTTCAATTTAAAAAAGCAATAAAAGGCACTGAAGAGCCCATGTTTCCCTCTATTATTATGAGGTTTATTCCAATTAAGCAATCTAAAAATTACCATGTTATGCATGTTATTTAGTTTCTGCTTAAAACAAAAGCTAAAACGATGGAGGCTTATGCCTATATAAAGGTGAATTGCTCAGCTCTTGATTTTTCTGTTCATGCTTCAGTACATAAAGTGGTGTTTAAACACTTCATCTATTTGGAAAAATGGTTAAAAACCACCACACTAGTTAACACATGTGCAGTTAAAACTATTCCAGAAGCCTACTTATTTGTGTAGCTAATATTTTCTGCAGTGTTTAACTGGTAGTTAAATTTAGTGAGCACAAAATAGCTTGGCATGTTATTCTGAAAAGCAAAAAGGTGGCTTTATGCACTGAAAATATAAATAGAAGGCTTTCATTTGCTAATAATTCTAAACAAGCAGTACAATTAAAATTTAGTGTTCGCTAACAAAAGATCTAAAACAGTTCACTACAAAACAACCCTGTAGATGTTCCTTTTATTAATAAAAGTTCAAGTGACAAATCCATTACAGGGCCCATATTAAAAAATAATAACCAGGTTACCTAGACTTTGCAAGATTAATCACTCAATTTCAGCAAATGAGAAATATGAAATGTGCAAAAGATCCCAAGTTAACAAGAGAGGGATGACAAGTGCTTTTTAAACCTAAATATCATAGTAATTTGTAAAGCCTCAGAAAGATAGAATAGGACTGATTTTACTCCATTTTTTAAAACTCTGAACTATTATGCATCTTACCAAGATCCTCAAATATCTATTTTTCTTCCAAAGTCCATAACTCAGGACATCTTCCAAAACAGTCAGTTTTCCATTTCTCTAGTCTTGTTAGTCATGCTATTTTGCAATTTAAAAACATTTTTATCTTACATACATCTTACACTTTCTCGCTTACTTCAGTGTTGACAGTATTGTTAAACATACTAGTACACATTGTTAAAAATGATCTTATAAATAATCTATCCCAACCTTCTTTGGCTACATGTTCCATTTTGTTGTTTTGTTTTTTTTTTTCATAAAAGTGTCTTGTTCAGAAAGTGCTTCCTGTGAGAACTGCTTCCAATGAATGCATTAAACTTGCAAAATCTAGCTTCCCACAATCCATAGTTCCCTACCCTGTACTAGAAGTCCCATATTTACAAAATATTTTAAACTTTACAACCATCTATTACCATATAAAAAAAAAAGTGCAATTCTCTCTCACCCCATATTCTGGGGCAATGACATTCTTCATCAATTTCTACAGAATAGCAGCCTATGGTAAGCAAATAAGGTGCTTAGCTTATGCCCAAGATCTACTTTTGAAGTACGCTGGGCAGTACTGTGTACAGTGGGAGTCAGTGTGCAGGCTACTGGCGGAGCGGCGCTCCGGTCAGGTTGGCGAGCTCTATGAGAGCGAGGGCCCCGTGCAGGCGCTCCCGCTGCTCCTGCAGCCGCCTCTGCGCCCCGCTCTTCTCGTCGTCCTCCTCGTCCGACTGAAGGTACTCCAGAGGGTCCTGCTGCTCTTGATCGGCCTTCTGGGCGAGCTTGCCTTTCAAGGTGGGGGTACGCTGCTCTCTTGTTTCCCAATACCTGTGGGACATGCATCCCTACTAATTAGATGATATACATGATATTTTCAAATGTTCCACTTTGCTTGTTTAAAGAAAGGTTCTTTACCCCAGCATTCCATGTGTTTTAGTTTCAAAGTTATAAGGTGAGCCCCGGCCGGTTTGGCTCTAAGGGCTCAGCTGGCCTGTGCAGCAAAGGGTCTCTGGTTCAATTCCTCTCTCATTTGTTTTTCTCTTGATGTGTCTTTTTTCTTTTCTTTTTTTTTTTATCCTCTGGTCCTTTTTATTTAGATAGAATGGGACAGAAAGAGAGAGAGAAACATAGACGTGAAAGGTGCACATTCAGTGGCTGCCTCCTGCACAACCCAAGCAGGGCCAGGGACAAACTGCAACCGAGTTATGTGCCCTTAGCAGGAACTGAACCCGGGTCTCTCTGGACCACAGGCCGACGCTCTAACCGCTGAGCCAAACCTGCCAGGGCTGATGTGTCTTTCTAACATCAATGTTTCTCTTTCCCCCTCACTCGCTCCCTCCCTCCTTTCCTTCCACTCTATCTAAAAATCAATGGAAAAATATCCTTGAGTGAGGTTAACAACAAAAAAGTTATAAAGTGATTTCACATATATTACATATCTTTCTCATCACAGAGGAAACAATTCAAATTCAAAAAATTGAGGTACTTTCTCAGATTTCCAAAATCAAAATCTGGCAGTTCTGGGTCTCTAGTCAAGTGTTTTTGCCATTAAACTATAGCTGCCTTAAAGATCGTATGTAGCCCTGGCCGGAGTGGCCCAGTGGTTAGAGGGTCAGCTGTAGACAGAAGGAGCTCAGGCTCTATTCCTGATCAAGAGCATGTACCTGGGTTGCAGGTTTGATTCGGGCCCCTGCTGGGCATGTGTGGGAAGCAACCAATAGATGTGCCTCTCTCACACTGATGTTTCTCTCTCTCTCTCTCTCTCTCCCCCCTCCCTCCCTCTTTTCCACTCTCAAAAAAAAAAAAAAAATCAATACAAAAAAATATCCTCGGGTGAGGATTAACAACAACAAAACTTATGTAAAATGCACTAAATATAGAAATAGTAGAACAAATAACCATTAGAAACCTATTTATCCTATCCACAGAGGGATGGTGACTTCTGACAGAGTTAACTATGATAAACTTTAAACTTAAAAAGTATGACTTACAGATATTTAATATCTGTAACACAGAGAGCTTATTCAAAAATTTACTCTATCACATGGCCAACTGATAATCCACAAGAGAAAATGCACATTTGGTAACTAAAGAAATACATATTTAAATGACAGTATCATTACATCCAAAAATGTCCATACAAAGACTTGCATATTAATGTTCATAGTAACTTTATTTGCAATAGCCAAAAATAACCAAATGCCCATCAACAAATGAATGAGTAAACAAGTTGAGATATATCCATACAATGAATTACTACTCAGCCATAAAAAGGAATTAACTACTGATACATGGATGAATCTCAAAATAATTATGTTGAGTGAAAGAAGCCAGACAAATAGGGAGTGCATACTGTACGGCTTCACTTGTATAAAACTCTAGGAAATGCAAACTAATTTATAGCAACAGAAAGTCAGCAGGAAGGGGTGGGAGTGACGGATTACAAAGGAACCTGAGAAAACTGTTGGAAGTGATACGTATGCTCATGATCTTGATGGTGGTGATGATTTCACAGATGTATACGTATGTCCAAATGTATCAAATTGTACACTTTAAACTTATTAACATTTATACATTTGGACATAAATTTATTAAAGTGTACAATTTATTATATGTCAATTATATGTCAGAAAGGCTGTTTCAGATACAAAAAATGTACAACTACTACATTTCAGGAAATCCAGACTATTTAAACTAGAAAAGTTTTGGCAATACTCAAGAGGTATAAAAAAAAAATGCAACCCGGCCAGTGTGACTCAGTGGATTGCATGTCATCGCACGGACTGAGAGGTCCCGGTATGGTTCCCGGTCAGGGCACATGCACCGGTTTCTGGTTCGATCCCCAGTAGGGAGCATGCAGGAGGCAGCCAATTGTTGTTTTTCTCTCTCTCCCTTCCTTTCTCTCTAAAAAATCAATAGAAACATTTTTTTAAAAAGGAAGAAATGCAAATAGTTCGGTATGACTTGAAGGACTACTAGAAAAGGAGAGTGGCAAAAGATAAGTTTAGCTAGGTCAGCAGGGAACGAGGGCTTTGAATGCCATAATAAAGGGTTTTAAGTCATACTGAGGATCACATTAGCATTTTAGAAAGATCCCTCTGGCAGCAGCCTGGAGATGGGATTGAGAGGGATGAAGTAGCTGAATTTGAGAGTTGTTAAGGAAGTAGACTCCATAAGGTGGTCACTGAGTAGATGGGACAGAGGATAAAGACAAGGATGACCAACAGGTTTCCGGCTTGGGCAAAATTAGAGCCAATGGGGCAGGAGGCCAGCAGGAGGAGGGGAAGGGAGGTAGGAAGTGATGCAGTAAGCAAGACAGACATGACCCTGCCCTGTGGAGCTTCCGGTCCAGCAGGGAAGACAGACACTGGATGAATGAGTGTATGGTGAAGGGAAAATACAATGTGTTATAAAAGTATCTATTAAATGAGTCTAACCTTGCTTGTTTTGGGGGTTCATAAGCAGGTTAGGGAAGAACTTCCTGAAGTGATATTTAACCTGAGTAAGAAATGAAGAATGGGCCAAGCGCCTAAACGAAGAGGGAAGCGAGCACATTCTGCAGAGGCAGCAGTGAGCACAGAGGCCCAGAAACCACAGGAGCCCAGACGGCTGGAGACAGTGTCACTGCAGAGGGAGGCAGAGTCCAGCAGCACACTCAGGGGCTCTGGACTCTGAGCACAAGTGCGGAGGAAGCGGCACAATCGGCAGCTGGTGGTTTGTATAAAAGAAATGACTCTTTAAATCAAAATATCCTTAGAGAAAAAATTTCATACTGCCCTCCACCTTGTTACCATTAAAAAAATTAAATTAGGTGCTTTTTGGACCATCTCTCTATATATACCTATAGCCATATATGTTGGTATCTATAGATATGGGGATATAAAATCAGCACAGATCTAATTCTAATATAAGAAGATAAAGAGGGGTTGCACTAACAACAAATGAAATATGTATAAAGCTTTCTTTAAAAATGAAGAAAATTCTTGCTTTTAAAATAAATTGTGATCTGGGCACTTAAGATGAATTAATATCATATAGTTTTCTTTCTTTTTTTTGTAAATCCAAGGATATTTTTCCATTTTATTTTCAGACAGTGAGAGGGAAAGAGAAACATCGATGTGAGAGACACATCAATTGGTTGCTTCCCGCTCGACCCCGACCAGGGCCGGGGACTGAACTGCAACTGAGGTCCATGCCCTTGATGGAAACTGAACCCGCGACACTTTGGTCTGCAGGCCAACACTCTGATTGCTGAGTCAAACCGGCCAGGGCTATCATATAGTTTTCTATCACACTCAGGTCCTAATAACACTCCTAATAATTCTGTGGTTTAAGAAAATAAAGCACCATTTCAAGTTATTTCATAAAATGTGTATAAAAACAACTTATTTAACATGAGAGAACTGTAGAAGTCCCCAGCACCCGCCCATGCCCCGGGTGGCACTCTGCAGTGGATTCCAGGGAGAGACTTACTTTGCCAACCACTCGGCAGCAGCCTGGTTGTCCACAGCCTGGAGCTTACTGAGAGCGTCAGTGGGCTCCTCCCGCTTCAGCCTGGCATAAGGGTGCTTGGGACAGTGGCGGTTTGCGTGGGTGAATCTGCTTAGGCAGCCTTCAAAACAGAGGGAAACACTCATCAGAATCAGGACATCTGGCAGACATGGAAAATATTCAGTTTCACTGGTAACCAGGAAAAGTAAATTAAGACAATGGGATTTAGCATTCTATAACTTGGAGGAGGAAAAAAAAAACCCTAAGTACAGTATTTTGTCAATGCTAGTGAGAGGGGTGGGAGGATGGTCCTTTCACCTCTTAGTCACTGTTAATACATGCATGCAACCCCACTGGGAAGTGATTCACTAGCATGAGTCATACAAATGTTCAAACCCTCTGACCCTAGAATTCTGTTCTTAGCCTGTCTCATAAGGCAACATCCCAAAGATGGACAAAGCTGGAACAGTTTAAGTAGGAAAACGTGACCCTTAGCTTTGTTGGTAACAAACACATTTTTAAAACAAATTAAATATTCAATATCCAACATATAGTTGACTCTTGAACAACATGGGGGTTAGGGGCAAAAATCCATATGTAACTAGTATATGCTTAAGCAAATTCACTAGATGAAAAAGCCTGAAGACATTTGTAACTGACAATAACGAAGAAAATCATAGAGCCACAGTACAAAACAGCATTGAATTTCAATTATAACTGCATGAAAATGTGCAGGAGAAAAACATCTTAAGAAACTGATAAAAGATTAAGAAAATCACTTAAGTGATAAGAAATTACTAACAGCGGCAGTGTTAAGATGGTAAAATTTCCCCTTCTATGAAAATGTAGGCAATAATATAAACTTCTTTCAGTTTAGTAGTTAAAAAGTTTAAAACTGAAGTAAAAGCCTACTCTAAAGGCGCATTTACTTTCATTGATTTTTCTACAGCCTATAACTGGATATAGTATTTTTAATTGCCTTTTAAGATTTTCACCTAACAAGAATACTTTATTTTAAAAATCAATCTTTCCCCAGAAATTGAACAAAGTGTTTTCAAAATGTGGATCAAAAAAATCTCTTCTCCCCAAAAATTCAAGTGAAAGATATTTTAACTACAAACTCACAACTAGTTATTATATAAACTTAACTCCTAATATCATACCATTTTCTGAACAAACAAAAGGTTTCTCTCCCGTGTGAAGACGCTGATGCGTTTTGAGCTGTCCACTTTGAACAAAGGCTTTTCCACACTCTGGATAGTCACACAGGTAAGGCCTCTCACCTAAGTAGACAGATGTTATACATTATTTCTGAGACAATAAGAAGAAGGGGCAGGGGGAGAGAATCAACCTTTACATAGACCATGACTCCAAACAACAATAAAACATGTCTCCCTCTACAAGTGACAATGCAAAAGGCAGCACTTGCCTGCTATCATGCAGCTGTCCACTCAGAAGCACAATGTTTTCTTTAGGCCTTGAGCTTTAGGTACCCAGGTTCAAGTCCTTAAAGTTATAATCTTCAGCTTATCCCATATTTTATCTCCCTATAATCCAAATCACCTCTTGCTGATTTGTTTAAATGTCTCTCGCTCCTACTTCCACTGCAACTTCCCTTGGTCAACTGGCAACCCCTCCACCCAGAACAAACCCTGGCTACCCTCTGGGTCAATCCACCTGCACAGCACAGAACTCCTGCTTTTGTCATAGCAACTATCCCCTAAACCACGCCAAACCCTACTATACTTCTTAAACAAATAAAAAGTATCTGCTGACTTCTCAGTGGTCCCCTAAGATGTGCAATGTAGCTGCTGAGTTAAGGGGCAGGGTTTATCTTTACTTCACCCCTGAGATTCATTCCAACCTGGGGACACTTCCTGATCTTGTTCTACTCCTTGTTATTCTCTGCCCATTCAAATCTTCTCAGGCCTGTAGGCTCTCAGTGAAACTCCCCCTACCTCCAAATAATGGAGCTCTGTATCCTCTCACTAACTTGGTACCCTGTGTTGTTCATGTATCACAGTACTTTTCTTATACAAAGATGCTTAATACCTTGTACTCCATTTCAACTCCTATACTCAACTAAGTGCTAGGCTGGAGAAAGTGCTCAAAAATGTTGCTCAATCACAATTAAATTTATTTTTTGAAAAAATATTCTCTGATCAACAGTTATATACTGTTTTTTTCAATATGACTCAAAAACTAGTAACTAGTCCTCCCTAAATTTCTTATTATTTAGAAATGTACTAAATGGTTGTGATAGTTGGACACAAATTCATAAAATACAAAAGATAGGAAGATTATTTAAAATAGTAAGAGAAAAGTTTTTTATCAAGCATATACTATTCGAGCTTATCTATACACTATAGAAATCTTGGGCTCAGTTTCCTGACATACAGTGTAGCAGGCAGATGCCTGGAAGTATCGGATGACACACAGTGGGTTAGTGATGAGGACTGGGACTCAGGGATCTTCTCATTATGCCACATGGTTTTGAATCTTATGTGCACTGGCAACAGGTACTCCATGGCCCGTGAACCAGTTACTTGAGGATATGTCAAACTAATTAGATTTTTAAAAAATACAAAAATTCACCCTGACCAGTTTAGCTCAGTGGTTGGAACGTCAGCCCGCAGACCAGAGTCACAGGTTTGATTCCGGTCAAGGGCACATACCTCGGTTGTGGTTCATCCTCAGCCCTCGTCAGGGTCAGGGAGACAACCAGTCGATGTGTCTCTCTCATATCAATCTCTCTCTCTCTGTCTCTCTCTCTCTTCCTCCCTCCCACTCTATCTGAAGATAAATGGAAAAATATCCTTGGGTAAGGATTTAAAAAAATTAATAATATAAAAATTCTGCCCTAGCCAGGTGCTCAGTTGGTTGGAGCATTGTCCCGTACACCAAAAGGTTGCAGGTTCAGTCCCCAGTTGGGGCACTTACAGGACACAACAATAGATCGATGTTTCTCTCACATCAATGTTTCTCTCTTCTCTCTCTCTCTCTCTCTCTAAAAAAAAAAAAAGAAAAAAATCAATAAAAACCCATATCTTAGTTGAAGATTAAAAAATAAACATACAAAAATTATCAACTCAGATATGCACTAAATAACTTTTACTGAATGGTGCAAAAAGTCAAAACATCTTGGCCATCATAGTTTATGATTCAAAATTTAAACTTTACCCTTTTTCAGGGATTTCACTATATGCTAACATAACATTAAAGTACATATTTTCAAAAACTTAAAAAAAAACAGATGATGATCATAAAAACAGTGGAAAAAATAGGGGCCTAAGAGTTAAAAACCCAAGTTCTAGACCAGTAATATCCAACAGAAAATATGTGTAAACCACTTCTAGTAGCCACATGAAAAAAGGAAAGAAAACTGGTGAAATTAATTTTGATAATATATTTTATTTAGCCCAATATGTCTAACATATTATCATTTCAGTATGTAATCAGTATGAGAAATTAAGGACTCCATTTTCTCTCTTTTGCATACTGAGTGTGTTTTACACACACTGCCCATCTCCACTTAGACTAAGTGCTCAAGAGCCGCATGTGCTACTAGGATGGCCAGCAGAGCCCAGACTTCAGCATATGAGGTTGCAAGGCAGTGGTATTTGGGTTTTGGTACCTGCTTCCTCATCTGTAAATTATCAGATTCCATGATTAGAACCATAAGGCTCCTTCTGAAGCCAACTTTCTCTGTAGAAAGACCAGGGACTCTCTCTATATTATTTGTTTGCTTTCTATATGGTATTTTAAATGCAAGTATAATTTCTCTACATAAATAAAGATGTATGATAGTTTTGAAATAGTTACCTACAATACATTAATTCTGAAAAGTAATACTTCACCTTAGATTTAATGACTAGGTCAAACACTCATTGCACAGAGGGCTCTAGAAATTCTATTAAAAAGTTGACAAGTACTATTTTAGAATATGGCCTACTGATTTGTAGTATATGGCTTACAAATCAGTTTAAACAATTATACAGACAAGTTAAAGGTGTATCAAGTAAAAATCAGATAAGTACAAGGATAAAACTAAATTTAGTAACAGTATTCCTATGACTAATAGATTAATTGCCCTGTATCTTTAGAAGTCCTGTGGTTCAGAGAGCTATCTCTCTCCATCAAAAAAGAAACTGACTACATGTAACAGAGTGAAATGCTTCCTCTCTCTTTTGGCCTTGAGCTAATATCTCCCTGTCACGTACATGATAACTAACTAGAGAAATTCTGCTTGAGGCTTCAGTTGGTTTTTGTTTTGTTTTGTTTTTTATTGATTTGAGAGAGAGAGAGAAACACCAATTTGTTGTTCCACTTATTTATACATTCATTGGTTGATTCTCGTATACGCCCTGACTGGGAATTGAACCCACAACCTTGGCATATCAGGACGACACTCTAACCAGCTGAGCTAGAGTTTTTGCAAGAGCAGCCCCTTGCCACAGAGGGTGCTTCCCCCCACCCCCAAGAGGTGAGAAATATGCACAGATATTCACAGGGTTTCCAAAACTGATCTCAGATCAGCTCAGTGGAGGGGTGTCAAAGGGTCAAGCAGGAACAAAGGGATTAAGAAATTCCACACACTTCCTTGAGTCCCTTTCAACATCTACCAGTCTACAGCCTGCACCCACCCATTGCCTTGCCCTTCCTCCCTTCCCTTAACAATAAAATGCCTGAATTCCAGGCTCTTCTTAAAATGGATTTAAGAATTAGTTCTCCTGCCCTGGCCGGTTTGGCTCAGCGGTTAGAGCGTCTGCCTGTGGTCCGGAGAGACCCGGGTTCGGTTCCCGCTAAGGGCACATATCTCGGTTGCAGTTTGTCCCCAGCCCTGGTTGGTCGTGCGGGTGGCAGCCACTCGATGTGTCCCTTTCACGTCGATGTTTCTCTCTCTCTCTCTTCTTCTCTCTCCCTCCCACTCTATCTGTACAAAAAATGGAAAAATATCCTCGGGTGAGGATAAAAAAAAAAAAAAAAAGAATTAGTTCTCCTGCCCTGGCTGGTTTGGCTCAGCGGTTGAAGCACTGGCCTGCGGACCAGAGAGTCCTGGGTTCGATCTCTGCTAGGGGCACGTATCAAAAAAAAGAATTAGTTCTCCCATCTTTTCAAGCTAGGCCTTCTCAATCAATAAAACTTTCCTTACTCCAGAACTTTGATCTACTGAATATTGGCCTTTCTTTTGAAGTATTGTGCACACAAACCTCGGACTGGTAACATACATAGTGCTTGTTTTTAAAAACTACAGTAAGGAAATATAAAGCACCTAAAATTTTCATTTATAAGCCCAATCATCAAATCAACTTTCAGTTAGGTATTATTTTTGACATTCTCTAAAATTGGCTCAGCTTACCTGTATGAGTCCTTTTGTGAGCCTGGAGCGATTTCTCCCGTGGAAATACCCTATTACAGATGTTACAACGGATTCTGCTGGACGAATGCTCTCCTTCATTTATCAAATCTCGGACAGTATCTGCTCTGGGCCTACCACGTCGGATTCCATCCTGTTAACAATTTGTATAAACATTAGTATATTTCTTGGACTCCACTCATTAAAGCAAAATAACGTAACAAATAATTTTTTAAAATCTTTCTTGACTGACATCACTAAAAATGTGAGAGTAGGTAGTTCCAAGGACCCATCCCTCCACAGATCACTGAAAAACCAAGCTGTCACAATCAGCTCTGTCACAACTCCAAAAAAATAAGAGATTCACAGCAACTCGGCAAACACTGAATCCAGAAAAAGGCCACTTGAAATGGTGGGAAAGGTCTGTGGCGCGTCTGATCGCTGTGCCCTCTCGCTCCGACCAGGTCTCGAGCAGCTTTCCTCTCGGTGTGCGAACCCAGTCCCTGGCTCCAGAGAGCAAAGCAGACCGAACTGTGAAAGAAGGGTGTCTGGACCTGGCTGGGGGCTACAGGAAGGGCTGAGGCAAGCTGCTTGTCTGTTTTGCCTAACTTAGAGCTCTCAGGGTAGAAGAGCCGCACACAGAGCAAACTGTTTAAAGCCTTGTGAAGCAAATGACAACACGCAGCACCTATTGCAAAATAATTCAATTAAGGCAAACAAAAATACCAAAAACCTGGGAGGAAACACTGGGCAGAGTTTCTTTGGGAAATTAGGTCACTGAAAACTGCCCATGAATCCTAAGGACAGGAATTCAGAAAGCCACACACTTGCTCAGCACAGGAAGCACGCTGAGGAAAGACTTTAAGTAGCTTTCACCTTGGCTGATTTAGGCTCAGCACAAGCAGGAAATGAAGGCTACAGCAGACTTGTAAACAAAAGCTGTGAACAGCGGCTAAGGCTAAGCATTGAAAACAGCTACAGCACAAAGTCATTCTGCAACAATTACATGTTTTTATCCCTTTCTTTTTTGCTCCAGGCATTCAAGATCGCTCTCAAAATATGAGCTGACCACAAGCTAAAGAAACAAACTTTAGAACAAATATAACAATATAGTTTACAAAAATAGTCTATAAAACTCGCCAAACAACTAGAATCCACAGCAAACAGCAAGAACAAATTCTGAGAGAAGAATCTGATTTCCAGAGTTACCACATTATAATATTCAAAACATCTAGTTTTCAATAAAATATTACAAAGTGTGCAAAGAAACAAAAGCATGGTCCATACAGAGGAAAAATTAATAGAAACAGATATTGGAGCTATTAGACAAAGACTTTGTTTTTTTAATACTCACCTGAGGATATTTTTCTCTTTATCTTCAGATAGGAGGGATAGGGAGGGAGAGAAACATCCATGTGAGAGGGACACATCAACTGGTTGCCTACCACACCACCCCAACCAGGGCTGGGGACTAACTGCAACTGAGGTATGTGCCCTTGGCCGGAATCGAACCTGTGGCTCATTGCTCTGCGGACCAATGCTCTACCTCTGGGCCAAACCGGCCAGGGCCTAGAAAAAGACTTAAATGGACAAAGAATAACAGGAAACCATGAAAATAAATACAGAATATCAATAAAGAAACATAAATTTTTTTTTTTTTAAATGAAAATTCTAGCCCTGGCCAGTTTGGCTTAGCAGTTAGAGTGTTTGACATGGACCGAAGGGTCTCAGATTCAATTCCTGCCCCAGTTGGGGTGCATGCAGGAGGCAACCAACCAATGTGCCTCTCTCACATTGATGTTTCTTTCTTTCACTCTCTCTCTATCTTTCCCCCACTCCCCTCTCCCTTCGGCTCTCTCTAAAAGAAAAAAAAAATCAATAGAAAAAATATCCTTGGGTGAGGATTAACAAAAATAAGAAATGGAAAAATATCCTTGGATAAGGATTAACGAACACACACGCAATATAGAGATTCTAGAGCTAAAAAGTACAATAACTAAAAATTCTCCACTAGAGATTTTTAATGAAAGATTTGAAAGGGCAGGAAGAAAAAGTCAGCAAATTTGAAAATAAGTCAACTTAAATTATCCAGTTAAGAGGAACAGAAAGAAAAAATAATAAATAGGGTCTAAGACACCCATAGGACATCAAGTGACTTTTTTAAAAATATGTTTTTATCGATTTCTTATTTTTTTAGAGAGAGAGGAAGGGAGAGATAGAAACAATGACATGAGAAACATCAATCAGCTGCCTCCTGCACACCCCCTACTGGGAATCGAGCCCACAACCTGGACATGTTTCCTGCCTGGAAATTGAACCGGGACCTCTCCGTCCATGGGATGAGGCTCAATCCACTGAGCCACACCAGCTGGACCAAAACAATATTTTAAAAGGACAAAACAGGAGGACTCACACTTCCCTATTACAAAACTTACGACAAAGCAACAGTAATCAAAACATTGTGGTGCTGGCATAAGGAAAGACATATAGACCAATAAAATAGAATTGAAAATCAAGAAATAAACCCTTATCTATGACCAATTAATTTTCAACAAGGGTGCCAAGAATACTCAATGGGGAAAAGAATAGTCTCTTTAACAAATGGTTCTAAAATAACTAGATTCCTACATGTAAAAGAATAAAGTTGTACCCCTACCTCACACAATACATAAAAAATTAACTCAAAATGTATCATACATCAAAATGTCAGAGCTAAAAGCCATAAAACTTTATTTTATTTTTATTTTTTTTAAATGTATTTATTTTTTTGTTACAGATGTTTCTCCTTTTTTACCCCATTGGCACCCCCCTCCCCACCCCACACCCGCCCTGTCCCTGGGTTTGTTGTCCATGTCCACTGATTATGTATACATGCATATAAGTTCTGTGGTTTATCTCTTCCCTCCCCCCCATCCCCTCTTCTGACAGATGTCAATCTGTGCCCTACTTCCATGTTTCTGGGTCTACCATATTCCTCAGACTGTTATGTTCATTATATTCTATATATAAGTGAGATCATGTGGTATTTGTCTTTTTCTGCTTGGCTTCTTTCACTTACGATAATACTTTCCAGGTCCCTCCATGTCGTCTCAAAGGATAGGAGATCTTTCTTTCTTATAGCTGCGTAATACTCCATTGTGTATATGTACCACAGCTTTTTGATCCATTCGTCTACTGATGGACACTTGGCTGTTTCCAGATCTTAGCTATTGTAAATAGTGCTGCTATGAACATGGGGGTACATATATTCTTTCTGATTGGTGTTTCAGGCTTCTTAGGATATATTCCTAGAAGTGGGATCACTGGGTCAAATGGAAGTTCAATTTTTAACTTTTTGAGGTAACACCATAGTGTTTTCCATAGTGGCTGCACCAGTCTGCATTCCCACCAGCAGTGTACTAGAGTCCCCTTTTCTCCACACCCTCGCCAACACTTGTTTGATGATTTGTTGATGGCGGCCATTCTGACAGGTGTGAGGTGATACCTCATTGTTGTTTTAATCTGCATCTCTCTGATGATTAGTGATGTTGAGCATTTCTTCAAATGTCTCTTGGCCATTTGTATGTCCTGTTTGGAGAGGTGTCTATTCAGCTCCTCTGCCTATTTTTTAATTGGGTTCTTTGTCTTCCTTTTGTTGAGTTGTAGGAGCACTCTATATATATTGGAAATTAATCCCTTATCTGATGTATCATTGGCAATGATGTTCTCCCATATAATGGGTTGCCTTTCCATTTTGATGATTGTTTCTTTTGCTGTGCAGAAGCTTTTTAGTTTGATGTAGTCCCATGTGTTCATTTTTTCCTTTGTTTCTGTTGCCTTAGGTGATGTATCAGTGAAAATTCTGCTCCATATGATGTCCGAAATTTTGTTGCCTACATTTTCTTCTAGAATTTTTATGGATTCACGGGTCACATTTAAGTCTTTTATCCATAAAACTCTTAACCATAAAACTCTTAAAAGAAAACAGGAATAAATTTTCATGACCTTGTATTTGGCAATGGATTCTTAGATATAGCACCAAAAGCATAAGCAACAAAATAGATGATGGGAGATAAAAATATATCTAATAAGGCTCTGGCATCCAGTACATATAAATAACTTTTACAACTTAACAACATAAAGACAACCCAATTAAAACACAAGTAAAGGACCTAAATACACATTTCTCCATAGTAGTTATATAACTGGTCAGCAAGCCCATGAGATGTTCAACATCATTAGTCATTAGGGAAATGCAAATCAAAACTACAATGAGGTCCTCAATACATCACAAAGAAAAAGAATTAATTAAATACAAAAAAACAGTGGCATACTACTTCACACCAACTAAATTATATTTTTTTAAAAAAGGAAAAATGAGAAAATTGAAGTGCATTTTGGTAAGGATGTGAAGAAATTAGAACCTTTATACATTGCTGTGGTAATGTAAAGGATTCAATCAATGTGGAAAAGTTTAAGTGTGTGGTACAATGTAAATACATATACATATACAAAAGAATGTTATTTTTTCACTGTTGTCCATGTCCATGAGGTTTTTTTTTTCTCTTTTTGCTCAATCTCCCTACCCCGCCCATCCAGGCCCCACAGCTGTCAGCCTGCTCTCTCTGAGTCTGTCTCTGTTTTGCTTATTAGTTCATTTTGTTCATTAGGTTCCACATATGAGTGAAATTCTATAGTACTTATCTTTCTCTGACTGGCTTATTTCACTTAGCATAATGCTCTCCAGGTCCATCCATGCTGTCACAAAGGGTAAGATTTCCTTTCCTTCTTTTTTATGGCCAGAGCATTCCATTATGTAAACTTTTTTATCCACTCATCTACTGTTGGACACTTGGGCTACTTCCATATCTTGGCTTTTGTAAATAACACTACAATGAACATAAGGGTGCATATATTCTTTCAAATTAGTGTTTCAGGTTTATTCAGATAAATTCCCAGAAGTAGAATCACTGGGTCATCAGACAGTTAATTTTTTTTTTTTTTTTGGTATGTGCCCTTAGCGGGAACTGACCCCAGAACTCTCTGGTCCACAGGCCAATGCTCCAACCACTGAGCCAAACCAGCCAGGGCAGCAGTTCCATTTTTAATATTTTGAGGCAACCCCATACTGCTTTCCACAGTGGCAGCACCAGTTTGCATTCCCACCAGCAGTGC